TTTTTTATTTTTTGAGACAGAGTTTTGCTCTTGTTGCCCAGGCTCGAATGCAATGGCTCAAACTCACTTCACCGAAACCTCTGCTTCCAGGGTTCAAGTGATTCTCCTGCCTCAGCCTCCCTAGTAGCTTGGATTACAGGCATGTGTCACCACTCCCAGATAATTTTGTATTTTTAGTAGAGATGAGTTTCTTCATGTTGGTCAGGGGTTTCTCCATTTTGGTCAGGCTGGTCTCGAAATCCGGATCAATAAAGTAATGTTCTTAAACCCCTCAGGACTCAACTGTCTTAGTAAATGGAAGAGTATTAGGAATGTCTCCCTTCCTCCCCTTGGAATGACAAAGGATTAATGAACATATATTAAAGAGCACCATTTCTCAGGCTTGGGGAGACACAGGCAACTGGAGGCCCCCACAATGCCTTCATTCCCACTGACCTCCCAGTGACCCCTGCTTCCTTCTCTTTCTTCTATGTGAGTAAACCCTAAGCCAATCTCTAAGCTGCTAAAAGCTGTGCCATCCTCTATGCCATACTGTATAGCTTATTGAAGAGACAAAGACAAAGTTCTGGAATAAAGCCTTTCCTGAGAACGTATCATCTGCCCATAAAATGAAACTCCTTGGAGCAGTAGATAGCAGCAGATCAGTAGCTACTTGACCAGCTAGTAGAGGCTGACTAAGCCCTACTTTGAACATCCCAAGTTGTCCAATGCTGAGAAGTGGACTTAGCGTACTATTCCCATCCCACCATGACCTCAAAGTGAACAGAGCCATCCTTAAAGATAAGGTGAGAGAAGGGGAAGAAAAAGAGTCCAAGATGTCGGGTTTGATGGTGCTGAGTCCTGAGCACTGCCCCACCTCTTTTCCTACATGCCCTGGATCTGTGGGGATCCTTTGGTTGGTATCCATCCCTGTGATAAAATGTTAACCCATTTTCCACTCCAATTGTGTCTCTAAACATTCAATTCTTTTGGCAGAGACCTAGAAACTCTAATATAATATAAATACTTTTTTAAAAAATCATATTTGCATGTCACAGAACTTTGCCAGTAAAGAGTAAGCTCTCTGAGGGTAAGAAGAATGTCCATTTCTGCTCCTACTGAAAACCCAGTGGCTAACACAACCCCTTGCACAGAGTAGCTGTTTAATAAATATATTAGGATAATTGGTGGTTCTCAAACTTTGGTGGGTATGAGATTCACCTACAGATCTTGTTAAGCCACAGATTGCTGAGCCCACCCCTAGTTTCTTTTGTGTGAGATCTGGGATGGGATCTAAGAATTTGCATAATCAGCACCAACTTCCCTGGTGGTACTGATGATGCTGGTCCAGAGACCACATTTTAAAACCTTTGTATTAAGCCACATGAAATGACCATTTTTCTTGGTCCAAAATGTCCAAATATTAGCAATTTCATGTAGTTCACACTCATATGATTATAAGTTAATATTTATGAATGAATGGTTAAATATAAAGTAGGCATTTATATTCTTTCTTGAAGTTACTCCTATTCACAAGCAAGCATAAGTGCACATGGAAAACTAGAGAGCATGGGCTCAGGAGCCAGACTGACCTACATTTGAATTATTACTCTGAAACGTACTAGGTGGGAAACCCCAGGTAATTAACTTATCTTTCTGTGTCCTTAGTTTTCTGACCTCTAAACTGAAGATGATGAACTTGCCCTGAGGATTGGATAATGTTTGAAAAACATTTGCACTATACCTGGCATGTGGCAGATATTCAACAAAGAGTAACCATCATCATTATTAATTTCACCATTATTATTATCTTCACATTGGGCTACACTCTAGAGGCTAGAATACAGCATATTCTTTTACATGTTTTATTTGGGGAAGTGAATCAGAATTAGGAAAGGCTGGTTGAGGGTTGTCTCAGAAGGGCAATGTCTCACTCTGCTAAGGAAAGCATTTTTATTACAGCATGCAACACCTGGTTTGGTTCTGACAGTGTGATTGGAGAATCTCACATCCGAATTGAATAGTAGTGAAATTCAATACATTCAAGTTGTTGAAGTGAAAGGAACATAAGACAGTGTCAGAAGCCTAAATCAACTTCAAATTCCTCAATATTTAGGACATTTAGAACACATTACTTAACCTTTCTCAGCCCATTTCTTCCTCTGTGAAAGGAAATTAATAGTACCCACATTCTAGGCTTATTACAGAGACTAATAAATACTGTGTGTGTAAATGTATATAAAATGCAAAGCTCTACACAACTATTATTTACTTGTGTAGTGAGACAGTCTCAGTTTCAGCCACACTATTCCTCTGGCCTTCTATAAATCCACCCTCACATGTCAGAATTATGTGCTAACATATGGTCTACAAAATATGTCCACTGTAGCTGTAGAGAATCTTTCTCTCAGGACCTCAGCCATTTTTGTAAGTTCCCAAGAGGCCCAAATACCTCCATCTCTCCCTTGCCTCTTTGCACAGGCCTGAATGAGCTTTTAGTTATTGAATGAAGCTACTGGCTATACAAGGAAAGAGCTACACTGAGAAAAGGGCAGTTTTGGGTAGAGAGAAGTGGAAGTGGGTCATGGATAGGGTGAAAGGTGTCAGGAATAGGTCCTACCTCCACGGGTAGAATATATCATGTGATAAGAAGGTAAGAAAAGTGAATAAAAGCTGCTGGTGCCTCGGCTGAGAAAAACAAAAAGGCATCATAGCTGTCTACCTCAGAAAAGGAATGAGTCAGATGAAGGTAATTAAGAGGAATATTAGTGAAGGACGTGTAAGTCTTTCTTCTTTCCTATTTCGGCATAGTTAAGATACACCTCCACTCTTAATGGCCAGGGAAGTCATGTAGACATGATATTAAAAATATTAACAGCCTACTCGATAAATTTAGATAAAGATTTTAAATCCCCTTGCCATGTCATGGTGACCCTGCTACTGGAACTTTCAAATAAATGAGAGAAAATTGAAAAATTTCATGAGTTTCAGGACTAATTTTCTTTTAGATTTTATACATGTCACTTTGCAGATGCTGTTCAAAATTGCTATTTTTATTCAATTGATATTGAGAGAATTAACTCTTCTTTTAGGAGAGTTTAGGGAAAGAGGGACAAATAATTGATGAAAGGGTTTTGCAGAAGGAGCAAAGTGGTCTCCTCTCCCACCTTCCTTCTCCTACCCAATTATCACCCTCAGAGAAAGCCCCCACCATACTCCCTTGGAAAGATCAGGTGGACAGATGCTTTTTGTGACCAACAAACCTGGAAAAAGTAAATGAAGAAACAAAAGACAACCGTTTGCAACATTTAGAGTCTCTGACATCTGTAGCATAATATGCTGGTTCATGGAAACCGGAATCTAATATTTTACAAATGACAATAGAAAAACTATCTTCACCCCACCCCTCGATATGTAATCTAGTACCAGTCCATAAAAAAGCTGTTAAACTCTGAAATGAGCACTTAATAATAATGGACACTTTTATCCACTGCCAGAAAGCAACAAAAGAACTCACGTATGTCTGTGGAGATTCTAGGATTGTTAGGTGGATAATAGAAAGACAAACACTTGCTAAAATACTGTCTGTTTCTCCCAGAATCACTTTGCTAATATCCAAGCCAACCAGCACAGAAAAGCTTTAACACATTATGCAATTCAGCTGCAATTCATCACTGCTGCTATAATTACAGGTGCCTGCCTGCCTTCCTCCCCTCAGATCTGTGGATAAAAGCTTAGGGATGAATTTGTATCTCAGCTGCACAGAAGCTGATGCTAGTAGTCAACAAACACACAGAACTCTGCATTTGAGAGACAGGCAGTTGTAACTATTGTTCAACAGTTCTTCCACACCCAGATTTTCAGGATAACAAAAAAGGAAAGGGAAGTTTTTGGATGTTTTCAACATGGAATGACCTTATTTCTCAAATAAGAAAACTGAAATTCGTGATGATGAACATTTTTGATATGTTTTTTGGCCACATAAATGTCTTGTTTTGAAATGCAAATCAAAACCACATTGAGATACCATCTCATGCCAGTTAGAATGACGATCATTAAAAAATCTGGAGACAGCAGATGCTGGAGAGGATGTGGAGAAATAGAAACACTTTTATGCTGTTGGTGAGAGTGTAAATTAGTGCAACCATTGTGGAAGACAGTGTGGTGATTCCTCAAGGATCTAGAAATAGAAATACCATTTGACCCAGCAATCCCATTACTGTTTATATATCCAAAGGATTATAAATCACTCTATCGTAAAGACACATGCACACATATGTTCATTGTGGCACTGTTTACAATAGCAAAGACCTGGAACCAACCCAAATGCACACCAAGAATAGACTGGATAAAGAAAATGTGGCACATATATGCCATGGAATATTATGCAGCCATAGAAAAGGATGAGTTCATGTCCTTTGCAGGAACATGGATGAATCTGGAAACCATCATTCTCAGCAAACTGACACAAGAACATAAAACCAAACAATGGATATTCTCACTCATAAGTGGGTGTTGAACAATGAGAACACATGGACACACGGAGGGGAACATCACACACTGGGGTCTGTTGGGGGGTGGGGAACTAGGGGAGTGACAGCAGGGGGTGGGGAGGTTGGGGAGGGATAACATGAGAAATATCTAATGTGGGTGATGGGGGGATGGATGCAGCAAACCACCATGACATGTGTAAACCTATGTAATAATCCTGCACAACCTGCACATGTACCCCAGAACTTAAAGTATAATAAAAATAAAGAAAGAGAAAGAAAGAAAAGAAGAAAGAAAGAAAGAGAAAAAGAAAGAAAGAAAAAAAGAAAGAAAGAAAGAAAGAAAGAAAGAAAGAAAGAAAGAAAGAAAGAAAAGAAAGAAAGAAAAAGAAAGAAAGAAAAACTGAGATTCAAGATTCAAAGGTTGAGTAACTTGTCTAAGGTTATCCACTTAGTAAATGGTGGAATTTCTCTTAGAATTCCAGCCTTTGTGACCACATTTTCCATGCCTTTTCTAGATCAGTCTGATGGCTCCTGGCAATAGTAGGTTATTAGCAACTGGTTGGGTTCTCATAACTTGCAAAAGACTCTCAAAGGCTAACATATGGCAATATTTAAATAATTATACACCCACACCCTTTTGGGGGAGGTGGAGTGATTAAGATTTAGGATTCCACTGTGGTTATAGCTGTATTCAGGCAAAGCAGAAAATGCTGAACTTAAAGGCAGCCTAAATGAGTTAAGAACTCATCTGATTGACTAGCGGAGGCATGTTTAGGAGGGCACACACTAGCAACACCAAGAATCTCTAGGATCTCTGTCTTATTAAAACAGACTGAAAACATTTGTGCTGAGGTTATATAGACTCCATTGGAAGATGGGAATGATGACCACAAGCCACATGGAACTTCACCTTCTCACATATATGTAAGTCATTGATATGGTTTGGCTGTGTCCCCATCCAAATCTCGAATTGTAGCTTCCTTAATCTCTACATGTTGTGGGAGGGACCTGATGGGAGGTGACTTAATCATGGGGTCACGTTTTCCCATGCAGTTCTCATGATAGTGAATAAATCTCATGAGATCTGATGATTTTATAAAAGGCAGTTTCCCTGCACAAGCTCTCTTGACTGCCGCCATGTAAGACATTCCTTTGCTCCTCCTTCACCTTCTGCCATGATTGTAAGCCCTGCCCCCCCACTCCACCCCCACCCCCAACCCCATGGCCATGGAGAACTGTGAATCAATTAAACCTCTTTTTTTATAAATTACCCAGTCTTGGATATATCTTTATTAGCAACATGAGAACAGACTAATACAGTCACTGTCAGGCATTTCTGCTGCACTAACATTAAAACTACTTTCTTTTTTTCTGAGCAGGCCAAGAGGGAACTCTTTCCAATGATGCAGGCTTCTCCCAAATACAGAGACCAAGAGATAATCACCTCCAATTTCCTACTCCATAGATGACAATATTAGTCTGTCTCAAAGACAATAGCCACACATTTTATACTATTTTACTAGGGACTTATGGAGGTTTAATGTGTCAAATTTTTAAAATATGATCTATAATTAAAGGAACAAATAAATCCACTATTTTAAAGAATATCTCCTAAAGGAAAAACTGGGTAAACTCAACACACCCTGAGGAATTATCCATTTTAAAATGTTAATTGTTATGTGGAAGTGGCTTTTGAAGTTCAATTTAATTTCCTGAAAGCCCCAAACAACTTCACTTCCCTACAGAAAATAATTAAGCATCAGAGATGATAATGTGATTAGCAAGTAAGACACCTGGAATTTGCTTAGCAAATCAAAAAGGAAAGAGGAGTCTGCTTTTAAAACTGCCGCTCCTCCTCCAATGCCCCAACCTCATCAGTACTGACACTGAGGAGCCATCCCAGGAAGGAAGCAGGTAGGAAAAGGCCAGACTCCTCAGCCTCAGCCCAGCACACATTCAGAAATTAAAAGCTGCTTCTTCCCGCCTCTAACACCTATCACACGTAGCCTACAATTATAGAGAACTACAGATATTCCTATGTTATCCTATAAGTTCCCATCTAATGGTCTGTTTCCTGTCTCCACAGATCACAAGACTCCTGGTTGACAAACTGGCCCTTTGTGTTTCTAAAGGCCACCTCATTGGCCTAAAACACTTCACAGGGGTCCAACCACCCTTGAGGGGACAGGATAAGACCTGGAAGCATCAGATCTAAATTAGCTGAACCAATTACAGAAATCAAGTACTTTCTGAGGTAAAATTAATTAAACTATTGATTTATGATTGATTGATTAATTGACTGATTGACTGGTTATGCTAACGGTTATTAGGGATTTACGTGCCAGGCACTTTACTAAGTACTTTGTGTATTTTATCTATTTTAATTCCAAGGAATACCTTTAAGGCGTAGATAATACTATCATTCCCATTTTATAAGTAAGGAAACTAAAATTTAGAAAGATTCATCAGCATATTCCAATCATACTGCTCAAAAGCCAGAAAGACAATTTCAAATTCAGGTATATATGACTCTAAAACCCAAGAGCAAGACCCTACAATAGAGGGACTGGTAAACAAATTATAATCACCTCTATAATAGAGTCAGACACTGTTAAAAATTGTTATGGAAAAATACTTGATGACAGAAAAATGTCCACAATAAAGGGTTAAATGAAAAAATTAACAAAACATGTACAGTAAGATCAAGGATAGATATCAAAAGGTTACTTATAGGGAAATAATGGGTGATATTTGTTGAAAATTTTCTATTTTCTGCAGTAAATATGTAATACTTTTTAAATCAACCAAAATATTTGCTTTAATTTTTAACAAGTAATTAATAGAAACATAATGATAACAGTGATTATATCTGCATGGTGTAATTATGGAAGATTTTATTTTCACTTTCACACTTCATGTTTTCCAAATAAATTATAATGCATTACTTTATAACCACACGCAGACACTCAAGTTTAAAACTCTGCAGAGCTTTTTCTAAAATGTTTAATCAGATGCTTGTGGCAGAGCCTACCAGTGGTCCTTAAATGTGCATATGCCATGTCTTCCTCAGGAATAGACCCAGAGATGTTTCAGCTGGGCACATTTCCCATAATAGGAACTCAATTCCCAGCCTTCTGTATTCCAAGGAATAGCTATGTGACTAACTTCTGCTAATGGGATGTGAAGTAAAATGACGTGTGCAACATCTAAAACGTGTCCATCCTGCTGCTAGGAGGGTATCAGATCACCACAGTTTCCTTTTAGATCATGCAAAATAACATTCTCTAAAGATGGGGAATAGAAAGCTGGAAGCAGCATAGATCCCAGAAGGTTGTAGATCTAGCATACCATCCCTGAAATGCTCAAATCTGCAGAGAAATGTGAGAAGTGAACAATTACCTTTTGTTTTTGTTCTGGGGACTTGCAGGAGGGCTTTGTGATATGTCACTGAATCTGCATCCTGACAAATACAGTAACTAAACATTTAAAATAATTTAGACTAGTTTTAAAAATAATTTTACATATAAATACATATATAAAATACAGTAGAAATAAATTAATGGTATCACTATAATTTGATACTAGAGGTCTAGCTGGAGGCTTCTGGCCCTAGGGGCAGTGGAGAAAAGGAGCACAAATGCATGGTCATCCTAATCTGATAGAAAGAATAAAACATCTGAATGAGGTCCTCAGTGAATCCAAGTTTTAGGAAAATACGTAAAAAACAGGTTTAGAAATCCTTTATTGTAAGAACAGCTAGATTCCTCCCTTCATGTTAGAGTAATTATTTACATATTATTGTGTGCACTTGCCATACTGTTTTGTAATTTCCATTTATGTGGCTACTTATATCTATAGAATATGATATTCTTGGTGCAGAGACCAGTTCTTTTTATTTTCAAATTATTGGTATCCTGTTACTCAGTCAAGTGTCTGGCACATGGGTAAGCAGTTAAACATGTGTTTGAAATGATTGATTGAAAGAATAAATAAATGACTGAAAGAATAAATAAATGAACAAATAGCAAATTGTATGACTGGTTGCTTGTATACATAAAGACATGAAAATATGCTAGCTGTGTATATATTATAGAATAAATTCTAAATGTTAGGGACTAATCTTTAAATGTAAATACACATTGATAAATTACATCAAATTAATTGTGATTTCTCTAAGGTTACTAAGATAGTGCTTCAATTATAATAAGATATTGAATTGAAATACTGAAACAGAACCTATAAAATGGAACTGAAACATATACATCTTGATGCCATTCAGAAAAAACAATCAGGATCTCATTGGGAGCCCCCATGTAATATATTTCTAAGGATAATCACCCACGTTTCATTTTTTTATATTTACTGAAAGTTTTAATTATACATTGCTTTCTGATTACTTTGCTATGCAAATAATTAAAGAATCAGACAAGACAGCAATGCTGAAGAAGTATCTGGTGAACTGAATGGCAATTTAAACTGAAAATGGAAATGAAATGGAAAGAGTTGACAGGAAACTTTCAGCATCTTCCTTCACGATCAACATATAGAGTTCGTTTTCTGGTAAATGAATTTAATTTCATCTTTCTTTCTTGAGGCATAATACCCCCAACACACAAAGAGAGGGAGGGAGGGGAGAGAGAGAGAGAGAGATACTAAATAGAGGGTTAAAGATTTGTTGTTAATATATAGCTATGTTTTTTGTATTCAAGTTTAGTCATCTTAAAATATACATAGTACAGAGAAACAATACTCAAACGTAAAGGTTAAAATTCTCTCCACAGTTCACTTACAAACTACGGTTCCTTGAAATCTTAGGTAAAATTCTATTCTAGCCATGTATTTTAAATGCTGATATAGTCTGGCTACCTGCTAGGAATTAAAAGATGTATGAAATTCAAAAAATCTTGGGAAATCCCTTTTCCATCAACATTTACTTGTGGCTATCAGGTTTAGCAAAGTCAGAGACTCTTACCTAAAGACAATGAATGAATGCCCTTTATTAATTATCATTCTCTGTCATGAATATTTTTTTCACAGTCTACTTTATTTATTTATTCTATACAATCAGAAAGGGCAAAGATATAGTAATTCTAGAACCATAATTAGATGAATATATATGAATGTAAGCTACTGTGAAATTTACACCATGTAAAAGGATTCTTCATACTTTGTCTTCCAGAGAACTGCACACCACTGGATACATTTTCTTGAAATTACATATTTACATGCTCTCAATTGCTAAATTACCTATGAATCATTTATTATTAAAAGAATTGAAAATATTTAGACACATATTGTTAAACATGGCTGAGTCCAAAAAGAAAACTTGACATTGAGTTTCTTCTTCAATATTTATCTTAAAATATCCATTCACATGTGATTATCATGATTTTAATATTTTGGAATCTCTAGCCAATCTATAATCATGCTGCTTTTAAATTATACTGTCAGTAAAGTGTCTCCTATATAGAAGTCTGTATCTAGATGGCAAATTTAATTATAGGGTATATTTAATAAATATATGTGTTTCACTGAGGAGGCAATAAATATGGAAAAAACTTAGATATCAATAATTTAGACAGAAAAAACATTTTTAATATTAAAGCAGTATATGCAATTATGAACAATATCTACCTTAAACAGATATATAAGAACATTCTAGTTCAATTCCAAATGTAGTGTCCACATTTCATGTCTCAGTACCATGATGTAACAAAGGTCCAGAGAGTATAATCAGAGAATTAGGGATGGGAATGGGGTTAGCCATGGTATCGTTCAAGATATTTCTATGTTTTCTAATAAATACCATCTAGTCTGGACATTATTTTCCACCTAGATTCTGGGCCTTTAGTATGTGTTCATGACAACTGAAAAGTTGGAATCCTCTTAACTAGAGCAAATATCTGTTGGATTTTTTTTTTTTTTTGTAAGACTGGGAAAACAAAGTTTTAAAATAATCCATTAGGGGCTCCTTTAGTGGAAGACTGAGAGAGAAAAGTCTCACAGCCATACATCATCTTCTACATTATTTATAAAACAACACCTATTTAAGGTCCCTTTGGGCTATGGGGTTGGTTGTGTAGGTATGAATATTCTAAATGATTAGGTTTTAAGGAATCAGCCCTTAAGTAGTGTTCTGAGAGTTTAACACTGTGTGTTCTGTGAAGAATTATAAATAGCTAAGACCCAACTGTTACCTACCATATTTACTCATTGTTTTTCATCCTCTACTCATGATTATCAACTGCCAATTCAGAAAGTTGATGCCCCTGCCCATTATAAATGGAAGAATTATAAATTTAAAGGTCAAAAACTACTTAGGATTATCTAGATCAGTGTTTGGGAGCTTTGTTTTGTTTTGTTTAAGTACAGTTACTTAGGTGTTTTATAAAATAAATAAAGGGACTAAGAACCTAAGAACATCCACGTAGAACTATACAGTTATGCACTTGTACATGTTAACTATATCTAGTAACATGTTAAACTACAAAATGTCTAGGTTTGGGGACCAGACATTTAAATTATGGAAAGCCCCTTCCCTCTGATACAAAGTTTGAGAACCTATGATAAGATAAAATTATCTCGTCAACGTTTGAATGTATTCTGTAGAATGTGTATCTAAAACATCTTTGCAGGAGACAAAACTTGAATCAGATTATGAAAGATAGTTGATGCATGGAAGTGTGAGAGAAAGAGAAATGATTTTAAGAGAAAAGGCTGAAAATGAATGATCAAAACATCACCCCTAATCTCCAGGAAGGCTTTCTGAGTGAGCAACCCAGAATCCTCAGAGAAAGATGAAAGAATGAGAAACCTGTCTTCACCAGTTGGAGGCAAGAACTGAACAATATTCTTCACATATTCCAATGTCCTCTCTGCATCATGGGAAGGCTGCTTCCAGTAACACAAAAACTAGATGTAAGCTTAAGCTAGATTGTTTTTCAAACTGTGCTTACTCTAGTTCCCCTTCATAAAAATCTTGAGAGGTCTCTCTTCCACCTTACCCTGGACAGCTGCAAATCACTGATTGAAAATTAAGTATCTTCAACAGCCAGGCAATTTTTCTAACAAACTTTACATTCTTTAACTTTGATTTTAGTTTCAGCGGTACATGTGCAGGTTTGATATGTAAGCATATTGCATGTCAACGGTATTTGGTGTACAGAGTATTAACACTTTGAAGTTTAAAATTTTAAAATTTTCCAAATATAAAATTGTATTTAAATTGAATATACCTTTTGAAATGGTCCTGTGGATTCTCTGGTGTGGTATCACTGGCTGAGGGGGTGTAAGTTTTTCTCTCTTATCTCTCCCTAGATGCCTCTATGCTGATTCCCCCAATACTGGGATAGATCTTTATAAAAAGTCCGTTTAGAGGAGTCTTAGGGAAGAATGCTGAGGTTAGTGGTCTAGGGGTGGTACCAAAATCTGTTCTACCTTAAAAAGTAGGCACCAGAAAACTGCCTGGAGCAGCTCCTTGCCTAAGCATCCAATATAACAACTTCAAAGTCCTATATATCCATCTCAAACAACTGTAGAAAATCGAAGTCTTTATGAAACTTTCCTAATAATTGATAATTACTTTCCTAGTAATTGATAAAAGACAGTTACTTACGTCTTTATAAACCTTGAATAATAACTAAAAGTTCATCATAGGCAGATGCATAAAGAATGATGTATACATAAAAATCAAGCACAACTTTTCAGAAAATGCTTGTGTAGGTAAATTAGAACAATACACTTGTGAAAAAGTGAAAAAAATGTAAACCACAAAACTTGGCATGATTTCTTTGTTCATTATCTGTTTTCAGTTTTGGTTTGTTTCTTCTGCATATTGTGTATATTTGAGAATACAAATTAAAGTCATGATGTTTAAAGGATTATAAAATATCTAAGCCCCAGCTGTTATCTACAACATTTACTCATTGTAAATAAACTATGGACTCGCTCTTCTATCAAGAGACCAAATCAGAAGTTTGTCCTATTAGTCAATAAATCCTTACCAACCTATTTGTATTAGTTGAGGTACATTTCAAGGAATGTGATTAATGAATAATTTAGAAAAGCAGATTTTCTTAAATATACACAGTTTAAGAAGTTAAACACAATATTCATGAGTGATAATAAATTACTTTATTCCATACATACACATTAAATAAACAATTACTTTTTCAACTCTGAAAGGCCTTTTCTGCTAATAAACTGAGAGCTCTACTCATTTTCCTATTAAATCCAACATGATCTATTATCCTTGGAAGTTAAATAGACAGCAACTGATACTCGTTCTTCAGAAAGAAAAGTCAAGGGCCAGTAAAATTTACTTATTTTTCCTAATTTATAAACATTAGATGACAAAATCAAGAGTAAAATTCATGACTCAAACAACTAAATTCAGGGTCGAAGGTCCTCAGTTTGTGAAGAATCAGAAAATATTACTTAAAATAAACCCATTCTTCGAAAATTGTTTTAAATGTTTGGGTTTTTTTTTTTTTTTTTTTTTGAGATGGAGTCTCGCTCTGTTGCTAGGTGCCAGGCTGGAGTGCAGTGGTGCAATCTCGGCTGACTGCAACTTCTGCCTCCCAGGCTCAAGCAATTCTCCTGCCTCAGCCTCCCGAGTAGCTGGGACTGCAGGTGTTCACCACTACACCCAGCTAATTTTTGTATTTTAGTAGAGACAGGGTTTCGCCATGTTGACCAGGATGGTCTTGATCTCTTGACCTCATGATCTGCCCACCTCAGTCTCCCAAAGTGCTGGGGGTAAAGGCATGAGTCACCAAGCCCAGCCAATTGTTTTAAATTTTAATTCAATTTATTTTAAATTCTGATTTAAAATAATTGTGTCATACACACACACACACACACTCACATATATAATGTACATACAGTCATGAGTAGCTTAACAACAGGAATACATTCTTAGGAATGCAGTTAGGTGATTTCATTATTATGTGAACAACATCGAGTGTACTTACCCAAACCTAAATGGTAAAGCCTATATATACCTAGGCTATATTTTATAGTCAATTGCTCCTAGGCTGCAAACCTGTATAGCATTTTACTTTACTGAATATGGTAGGCAATCAGAACACAATGGTAAGTATTTGTGTATCTAAACATTTCTAAACAGGAAATATATAGTAAAAATATGGTATTATAATCTTATGGGACCACTGTTGCACATGCAGTCCATCACTGACTACAACACTGTTAGGCAGACATGAATGTAGTGATATCTATACTTATTAACTACATCCCCACACACAAACACATACACACGCGTGCGCGCGCGCACACACACACACACACACACACACAAAATGTTTCAGGTAATAAAGATGTCTTGGAACTAAACATAAAACATTGAGAATTCCTTAGGAACAATTTACTGTATCCCTCAAAGAACTATACAGTACTTGTAAATTGTTCTCCAATCCATTTTCTTTGAGATTAATTGGTAACTTTTCCTTGCTTAATCATCTGATCTGGCCATGTGTTAAGAAGACATTTCTTTATTTCCTTTCAGAATTTTGCTTAGGGATTACCTATGTGATGTTTAATTTTATATGTCAACTTGATTAGGCCATGGGTGCCCAGCCATTTGATGAAACAATTTGGGTGTGTCTGTGAGAGTGTTCCGGCATGAAATTAGCACCTGAATCAATAAACCAATAGATGGAGAGAAGCAGATTGCCCTCCCTCTGTTATGTGGGTGGGTTTCATCCAATCAGTTGAATGCTTGAATACAGTGAAAAGGCTGACCCTCCTAAGAAAAGGAAAATCCTCCTGCTTCACTGCTTTCAAGCCTGGGTTTTTTCTTTTTTTCTTCTTGCATTTGGAGTCAAAATGAAACACTGGATCTTCCTGTGCCTCAAGTCTGCTGGTCTTCAGGCTAGAATTATACCATTAACTCTAGCTTGCCAACTGTAGATCTTAGGACTTGTTAGCATCTTTTTAATACCATAATCATGTAAGCCAATTACTTATAAATATCCACACCCTCCTCTCTCTCTCTCTCTTTCTTTCTCTCACTCCCTCCCCACCATGTGGTGTGTGTGTGTGTGTGTGTGTGTGTGTGTGTGTGTGTTTTCTATTTCTCTGGAAAACTTTGACTACTATAATATTTGATGCGAACTCAAGAATTTCTTAAAGGTGTCAGTGATCAAGGACAAAGATATGTCTTTTGCTTTCATTTCAGTAAAAGAATGAAGATCCACTTTTTCTTCATAAAATGCAAGCAACAGACTGCAAAATCATCTGACTGCTTATTGCAGACCAAGTCAAGCCCTTCCTCTATTTTCAATTGCTTTCCAGTTGCTAGACACAGGAGTCTAAACCCTATAACCTAAATATTAAAGCTCTGAAAAATCACGGCCTTATCTATGCCCCCACAGGGCTAGCACATTATCTATCCCAACAATTATTTTCTTAATTCATGCCTAAATTCCTTTTCTTGTGCTGAGTCTTCCACCAATGATACATTTACCCCTTCTTTCTATCACACAATGTTTTCAGGCCCTAACCAGAATCCTCTCTTCTAGAAAAACATAAGCCCATAATAATCTCCTTTAAACAACTATTGTATACATTTTCTGTACCATACAGTTGGTACTTTAATATGTACATATCTTTTCTCTTCAATTGGATCACACACTCCTTAATGTCAAAGCTTATAATTCTGTTTTCCAAATGCCTGCCACATAATATTTGCTCACTTTAATACTGTTGAATGAATCGATGCAGCAAAAACTTTGACACTGAGAAAAGGAACAAGTAAGCAGATATGTGAGAGGTTGATAGAGCTACAGAGTAAGGAAAATAAAAGATAAAAGACCAATAACCTATGAGATAATGTACTAGGAAAGAAAAGGTAAAGGAAACAAACACATTTTTAGAAGAGCTACCAGAATTCTTTCTAAAATTGATTCAAAGCACAGAGAGTCAGAGGCTACACTGAAAAAAAAGCAGCAAACTTTGGTGAAAAAAAAAATCACTAGATTGGCAGCCAGGGTTATCATGTTTGGTATAAAATCTGCCATTAATTGCAATTTAGGACAAGCTATTTAACTGCCATTGGCAATTCATCTCTAAACTTAGAACTCTACATGTGGTGATCTCTGAATTCCCCTTTGCATCAGGTAATCTAGGATTCTATAGTTTTCATTCACCTTGAGAAAGTTCCCATTTCATTTCTTCTGTGGAAAGAGGAACCTGAATACACTAAAACTTATGATAAACTGAATGTAGGAAGCTTCAGTAAGTAAGAGGGAGGTAAGAAAGGAAGGATTAAAATAACAACATAAAATAGATCAAATAGCTATGAATATACTGCAATTTCAGAAGCAGAGCATTTCTTTAATATTTAGTTTACTTGATCATGTTAGCTGAGCGATATTCTTATTGTGCTAGGTCAAGGACTTAGACTAAGACTGAGTGGAAGACAGAAATGAGAGCTAGAGGCAACATATTCCAAATTCTTGCTTTAGTTCAGTAATAGAAAAGTAGCTAATTGATTGAAAAGGAGGTTAAGAAGCATTAAAGATCATTTTGATTAGGAGAAAACATGTCAATGTAAGAATGTAATTTATATCTTATTTAAAATAATCACATGCTAAAAGATGTGGATTAATACAAGCAAAATGATGAATTTACAAAGCATTGAGATGTCTGGAGGTAAATTTTAAAAAGACTGCAAATCAAATGTCATTTAACTTCTCTCTTTTCCCAGTCTCCCTTCCACACCAGTGCTAATCACTCAGCACTCCCTTAAGCACCCAGTATTTTCTTTTGTATCTGAGCATCTCTGTCATAGACAGTATCGATCGATCCTAATAAACTCATCTTAACTCTGCAGTCTTGGAACTATGTGTTCTCTCTTCCAAAATATACTTGTCTCAAAATAAGGCCAAGAAACAGGGCAAATGCTTAACTGAAAATAAAGACTGATAGAATTATATGTATCAGTAGAAAAAATAACTAAAAGATACAACCTTCCCAAACCCTTTCAGATCTTCACAAGTGGCCCTGCTGTCTAGTGATCTAACTTTCTACTAAATCCAGAAAAGAATATTCCGTTTTTAGTTAAGAAAATAAAGAGTTCAAATTAATCTAGAGGCAGAAACCTAAGGACCAAATACTATATTTGAATGCTGCTATCTTTGGAGAGGATTCTCAAAGCCCAAATGTAAAAGTAAAATTAAAAATCTTTTTAAAAAATGGTGCAGACAAGTGTTTAGAATCTTTTCTAACTACCTCGCTCACCTTATCACAATTAGTTTTATCAGATTAGGTAACCGTCACTTGGAAATACAAAAATATAACATAGTTGGCTTCAAGGGTGTGTGGCGAGAGACAAATAAGTCTTACTTATTTGGTGATCAATGAGATGTGAAGGAAACAGGTGTGTCTTAGAGAAACTGTGGGATGTGAGTGGGCCAGAGAGTAAAAATGGGATGACATACCCCATCACCTGCTATATGCTTTTGTTTTTTACAAATCTTAAGTTTAAGAACTTTTTTACAAAATTGCATACAGTTAAAATTTGGGAGATTTTTATACAAAAATTTGGTTTCACATATTTCTAAAAATCGCAAAGGAATTGACAACTCTGAGTAGGCAATGCCACATGGCAAGAAACAGGTGGACTGAATAATCTCATAGGTGACTGAGGCTTGACTTTCACCTTGGGAATGATTGTAATTCAATGTTCCTAATGTTAAGCAATGATCTACCCTTTCTTCAGGGGCAGAAGGAACTTGAATACACTGAAGTATAATAATCTGAATATAAAAGTTGCAAAAACAAAAGGTCAGGATTTTCAAAACAACCTAAAATAGATAAAATATCTATTACTCTATTGAAACTGCAGAAAGGGAACATTCCTTTATTGTCTCTGTGGTTTCTCTACTACAGACAAGATTTCTTTATAAGAAAAAAATCAATAATCAAAATTTAAAAGTCAAATTTTCTTTCAGTTACAGAATATAGAAAATTCATCATAAATACTTACCCTTCAACACACCATATATGCTCAAATAATTTTAAATACCTTTTGTTTTTCAAATGAGAAAGATCTATAATTTCATTTATTAAATAAGCTCTTGAAAATATTTTACTGTTGAAACTTGGTCCTAAACCTAGGTTCACAGTATATGATAAAGGTTTAAAGAAAGCTTATTTAACCTACATTAAATCTTGATAATGCATTAATGAGTCTTTTAAAGGGATAATTTTAATTCCCCAATCTTCAACCATAAAGACTATATAGTACTAATCTGCCTTGCCCTTTCAATTAAACTTGTTAAGGGTGTTCTATTTAGTCAGCACCCTGAATGGGCCATTAAAATTCTTGTTCGGTAAGAGTTGTGTTCAGTGCTCTGTTGTTTTAAATTCCATTAAATCCAAATGGTCTTTATCGCCCCATGACCACTGTGACTTCAATCAGCCAATTTAATTACCTTACAAAATTGTCAGCAGAAGCAGCACAGAAAAACAGGAAGCCCTATGACATTATCAGATTGAAATCTTCCTCTTCGGTATTTAATCTAAACTAGTCAATAATGATGATGTGCACCTACTTCTTTCCCTTTCGGGGGTTTCTGACCTTACTTTTCGTGCCAAGATTTAGGGTATAAGATTCATCTGAAGCACTTCTAATACTTTGATAACTGGACTACAAATTGAAAGACCTTTGAAGATAAAACTTTACTACCCAAATGAAAAACAATCAACACTTAAATTTCAATATATCATACCATCCTACTGAGAAAAATCAAGGATCTCCTGCAAGCCCTAAGTATTATGCATACAGTAGATTAATAATTTCAGTGTGTTACATTTTAAAGACAGTAAACTACTTTCTACTCTGATGTGCAAAAATGGGCATTGACAATTTCCAGGCAATAAATGTAATTGGAGCTACCATAACAAAGTCAAATCTTAAGAACTGAAGGACAAGGTGAAGTAATTTCTCTCACTTGAACATTAAATTTCTTCCATAAAAAGCAAAGCATTTTCTTTATCAGAAATTATAACTAAATGTCATGAAAGATTATGTCATTGTTAACACAGACAACACTTTATGTAATGATGAGCAAACTTGAAAAGGCTCTGATAATCAATGATACGCCATCGTTTGATCGATGGTATTTTCCTTCTTCATGTGAGAGGAATTTACATTAACTTTCCTGTGCTGAGTAAATGTTGAAACAGTGTCATTTAAGAATTCAGAGAATGAACACACCGTAATGATCACTTGCATGAAACCAAAAAGGAAAACTTGTCTGAAGAAATGTCTACTGACATATAAACCCTGTTCGCTTCTGAAAGACAACTTCACAAAGCCTGAAAATGTGTTAAGTTTAATGTGTCTGGGTGGAGAAAGAGTGTAGTTTCTAGAAGACAAAAAGATCATTTTTCAAAGTCATTTTCTGAAATGATTGTGCTTCTGTTGATGGATCACATCAAGTTATTCTTTGAAACTTTAAGAGTGAGAACTTACGGGAAAAACTGATTTTTTTTTTTTAAAGTGTGGCCGTTGTGTTAGCGATTCTTGGAAAGATTTTTCCCTTGCATTACAGAGCTCAGCTAAGCAGGTGTTCGGGCTTTATCTGTTGCAGATAGTAGCCGCTATTACTCCCCCATCCCCGCCTCCTAAGAGTCAGTTTTCCTGCTTCCAGATGTAAGGCCACTCCTCCCTCCCGCCCACCTCACCTTTCAAAGGAAGAAAAACCTCTTTCAAAGAATTTGTAGAGTGGCGTCTTCTAAGCTCAGTCAATTCACTCTCACTTTGCGATGTTGCAGTACATCTGCTACTAATTATTGTATCTCTGAGCAAATGAGATGCCCAGCAAAATAGCAGGATTTCCATAGGAACTCTTTCCGCTCTCTCTCTCACGTTGTAGATGTTATCCCACAACGTATGGGCGGTCCCTTAAACTGGCTGTATTCACCTTCTGCGTGTGCGCAAGAAAGTGACTGCTGTCCCACGAACAGGTGGTCAGCGCGCAATGCCAAAGAGACCCCAGCGCGTCTGGGAAGGAAGACTTCTGCTGGGAAACCTTTAAGAGAGCAGTTCAACCAGCTTGTTTAAGAGAAAAGTTAGGTCGAAACATCAAAAGGGAAGACCCGGCCTACCATACGTTCAGCAATTTGGAAAGGAAACCCTGGAGATGCTGTCCAGGAGTCTAAGTTTGGGTTGACGTCTTTGCTCCTGGCGTTCTAAATTCCAGTTTAGATAAAGATTTCGAATGACAACCTGACCTCGAAGACCGGAAGCAAGTGATCGCTTGGGGAGTGATTTCTTAAAGAAGATGCTTAAACACGCGAGAGCTCCCGAACGGTGAGCCCGAAGCCAGCCCAGCACAGAGCCAGAGCTGGCTTCTGCGCTTCCTCGCACTTCCTTGGGCGGCAGGGGTCAGCGCATGCCCAGAAGAGAAGTACGGGCTAAAGTAGCAAGAAAGGTTCAAGTACCTCCGCGGTTCGGCTGGGAGACCATGGAGTTGCGGGTCACACCCCCGCGGACGGAAGAGTCCCGCCTTCACCCCATCCGTAGGCGGGCTAGGCTGGGACGCAGCTGCGGAGAAACAAAGATGCCTCATTTACATAGGCTGGGAACTTCTCGCTCGACAAGGGGCAGGAAAACTGACTCTCTAAAATGCACCTTGTCCGCAGGATGGGCACCCAAGAAAACCCAAGTTGACTCGGCACAGGATCAAAGGCGGGGTAACAGCCAAGACTCACTGCATGGGGCTCGTCCGCTTGCCTGGCGGTGACCCCTGGTTGACCCTCAGGTCACTGCTATAGAGCCTCGGAGCAGCACCCTAGGGCCGGTTTTCTGGATACCTTTTCTCAAAGATGTTTGCTGAGCGGCTGCAGAGGAGCAGGCCGGCGAGTGCAGTGGAGCCGGAGTCACTGGGCCTGGAGTTAAGGGAGAAACAGGACACAGGCGCTCCTGGGTGTAACTGCAAAGTTTTCTTGGGCACTAAAGAGACCTCACCGTGTCAAAGTTTGAGGCTTGCTTCAGGAGGGCATATGTGCCTTCGCGGGCATGCGCGTGTGCGTGAGATTGTGTGTGTGTGTGTGTGTGTGTGTGTGAGAGAGAGAGAGAGAGAGAGAGGTTGTGTATGTGTGCGAGAGAGAGAATGTGTGTGTATGTGTGTCATACAAAGAGGGAGAGGGAAGAGCGGGGAACAGGGTGGTGCACACTGAAGCGGTGTTGGGGGAGACTAGGGACACAAGGGCTCAGCACTCTAAGCGGGGGCTGCCCCTTGCCTTGAAGAAGGTGACAGGAGGACGCCCCGTCAAATCACAGTCCTAGTGGGAGCAAGAGGAAGGATAACACAGAGCCTCCACCGACGGGGAAGGGGGGCTGGGGTGACCGCCTGGGCTGGCTACTCCGTTGCCATGGCGCTGCAACGGAGGCGCCTGTCTGCTGCCGGCGCCCTACACGCCAAGACGGGTTGGAAGGGGCCCTGGATGCTTCCTCCCTAGCAGAGGCAGCGGGTCTCTCCAGCACCCGGGGCAGCTGCTCCATGTGCAACTCCAAACTATTCCCTTCCAAGGCACAAGGCCAGGGGTGAGGCACTGGCTCGACTTTTGAGCCAAAGTCGAAAATAACCATTCTCAGGAGTGGCTTATATGTGCTCAACCAACCATCAAATACACTCAGAACATGTTTACCCCAGAAGAAAATAAAACTTCCACCATTGCATCAAAATAGCTCCAACAGGGAAATGTTCCAGTAACAATGGACACAGTCCTCTTCCCCACAACTCAGGTCAGAAATCAGAGG